AAAGAAAAAGGGCTAACTCTTCCAAGCATTACATAAAAAAATGCACTAAAGCATGACACATTGAATTTATTTGATTCTAATGTGATCGACATTTCCGCATAAACAAAATCTATTACATTAAAACAATTACAATCAAACGTTTGTTGTGGCAATAGTTTGTTCATGTGGTACTAATTTACACATTTGAATTAAATGGGTTTGTTGACCTGAAAATAACATGTAATATGCTATGTTTATCACAGCATTGCATCCCTCAGCCTCATCAGTTTGACAGAATTCACAATTTTGTGTCTTTCTGTGGTTTCATCCATCAATCTACTTTCATTACAATACCCAGCATCACACACACTATCTAAGCCGCTTATGCTTCTGGGTCGCATGGGGTGCTGGAGCCTATCCCAGTGGTCATTGGGCAAAAGGCAGGAATCACCCTGGACAGGTCAATACCCACCATGCACTATGCAAATACATCATTTAACCACTAGGAATCCCCCTCAGAGTGATGAACAAATCCTGACTGCTAGCACAGCCACTGATATAGAGGCAAATAAATATAGACGTGATATTTGACCTCCTTCCTTCAATATTAGCTTACTAGCGGAAAAAGCATTTTAAACAAGTATCCACACTTTTTGCAGAACGTGTAGTTTTTAACCCCTACTAACACCTAAGATACATCATCAGAAGGTGGTCTACTGAGGCCTTAAACTGGAAAATCTTACTCTAGAGAATTTTGTTGCACCACTGCAGGAGGAGGCTAAGGCATGTTTACAGATATAAGTTATAGTTACAAATTTTAATGTTTCCCTTTAAATGTAATGAAACTTTTTTCAGTGTGGCAAAACAATGTCTATGGGACCACTTACAGAAATCACACAGTCCACCACAGGCTTCTTCAGAGCACTCTCAGAAGTCTCTTTCAGCTTGGTGAGTAACATGGCTGTCACCTGCTCCATAGTGAACACCTTATCCTCATCCAGGTACCGAACCTATAGATGCCATTTGACAGTGATTGCTCTTATTCAAAACTGTACATTGCTAAATCATTAGCCAGACAGACAGTAAGCAGTTTAACATGGAAAACAATGTAATAAAGCTATCTGCATAATTTGTTTTCAGGAAGATTGAGGTAGCGCATTTACATAGCGGGGGAGGGGAGGGTGAAGGAAGAGGGGTGGGGGGTGGGGGGAGGGGTCAGAAACCTCACCTTTACTCCAGCGCTGCCATTGGCCAACTTGTGAAGGCTGTAAGGTAACTTGGCTCTCTCCCCCTGAACAAAGGGGTCATCAAATGCTCGACCATGGAACTTCTTAAAGCCATGAACTGTGTTCTTAAAGTTTGTTATCATCTGTAGGGAGAAATGCATTCTGTTCAGTATGTTACATTCCCAAAATCCCAGCCAGTCCCTAAACATTTAGGATAGGCAGACTGTGAACCTGCAACTGCATGTGTACCTGACTCTTAGCAGCATTTCCAATGGTCCGATTTTTAGATGCCAGAGAAACACAGGCCCTGTGGGAAAATAAGCTGTTCATTAATTTATCATTGTGATTGCACCCGTCATACTCAAGTACACAAGAGACATTGTATCCTCCCTTGTTGCCCCAGTGATGACAATACTGATTGCTCAAGGGGGGGGGTCACCAGACAGCACCTCGGACAGCACCTTCAGTGTTGCTTTCACAAGCTTTGGTCAATCAGAGAACTAAAGAAAGAAATGTAATCTTTGTAATAGTAATCCAATATTAATGCCTAAACCTATATTGGGAGTTTACTGAAGACCGGAAACTTAGAGCAATAAGACCAGATCTGAGACAGACAATAGTGATATATACAATACACAGTTTGAACACAGCAAATGCTTTGTAAATTAAAAAGGAAGCGTATTGCTGTCATATCAAAACCTGATGTTTTTAACATGTGAAAACACCATCTGCCCTTCAACATTTTGTGGTTATTTTATGATGAATGAACCAATAGAAATGATCCATTATTCCTTGGGATTAAGATACTGTTAAGTTTAGAATGTTTCTTCCTCCTATGAAGTTTTTATGTTAGAGATACAGGGTTTTGTTACTACGGTGATTATAACCTAATCATTTAGATAATGACACTATTAATAACAAACCTAAACAAAAGGGTTGAATATCATGACAGCCCAACAGGAACAACCACAGCTTTTCTCAACATCATATCAACTTTTAAATGGACTGAGGGTTCTGCTGCTATTCGATCACACAAATATGAGATTAGGTGCAGGACACATGATCTTGTTGCAGTGTTTCTTTTCCTGGTCCTGTGCCTCCGTGAATCACTATAGGCTTCTTCTACTTCTAAAAAGTCACTGGAAACAATAGGACTCTCTGTCCTGCATCCAATGTCACAGGTTTAGCATATAGCGAAGCACAAGCATCTGCATGCAGTGTAAAAGCGATGACACGTGTTTCTTCAAGGCATTTCAGCCTGCATTTTTGGGGAAGTAAAGACAGGGCCAAAAACCCCATCCAGTCACATGTGTCATTCATGGTTCAGATATTTCTAATTTGATCTAATGATCGATTATACTTCCACTTAAAAGAGCTCAACTGATTGTATGAAAACTGCCAAAACTGTGTACTATTGAACAGCACATTGCGAGTCTAGTATTTTGTAAAGACAACATCAAAGAGCCAGAATTCATCTGCACAACTGAATGAACACCTACAGTGTTGACTTAACACCCACATCATTCATTTAAATCCAGCTGGACACGAATAAACACAGAGTGAATCCAGCACTGGGGATTTTGTGTGCAAGACAGAAACCCATAAGACAGGTTGTTCCTCGGTCAGGGCGTAGCAATGTCTCACTCTTCTGACTTATACACCCCATTACACTGTGCAAAACACTGCTCCATCCTTAAAATTCAAATGTAAAGGGAACAGCTAGCAGTGAAGCTATCACTGCCCTACAGAATAACACGCACTGCAATGTCAAATATGGAGAGCCTGATGACGACTCTGCAGAATAAAACGCTGCTGCAGACCGGGAAGCAGAGTATGTGGGTACACTGCCAGCTCGGCTACAGCAAACATTGCGTAACAAAACACAGCATCGTTTTCCAGTGATGGCAAAGCTGGGCTGTACTTACGGAGTGCATCTGTCACTGTACTCATTAGCAATGGTTTCAATACCGCCGCTCCTGGCAACAGCGATGTAACAGTTCTGAAAACCCACATCAAAACCTACCACAGACATATTCGAGCGGAAAAAATATTTTTATTTTTCCCTTGTTACTTCCAGTTCCTTTCTTTTCTTTTTTTCACCGTTGCAGCTGGCTGAGAACAACTCACCACCCCTAACCTAAAATGTGTGACTACCGTTGTTTCGACAGTGCGCTTACAACCGAGCTAAGAGCCACTAGCTGTTATGTAATCCAGGCTTTTTATAGCCAACTCTTTCACACTAATCCTAGATGAGGACGGTTCTACTGCATTCTTGCAGCCTCCACCGATATTGTCAACCGGCAGTGTGGGCAAACCTGCGCAGTTGGCCGGAGACTGGAACAGCCTGAAACACCGCCCCCCGTTTGCTATAATTGGTTACTGGACACCGAAAAACGGCCCGATTGGTGCAGCGCGCCAGATAAGGAGGAAAAATCTAGAAGCTCGAAAGAGAGGCAGACAGCCTACGTCACAAGGAATGACCGGGCAGAGAGGTCCGCCAATCAGAGAGGAGCAAAAACTGACATCAGGACAACTGACACAGACTATTATTGTTGTTGTTATTATTGTTACTATTATTAATTATAGTAAATAATAATCATAATAATGCATTTTATTTATATAGCACACTTTTCATGACAATGTCAACTCAGTGTGCTTTACAGAAAAATAAACAAAATCCATGAAACACATTTAAAATGTAAAATCTTAAGATTCTTTTTTTTAAAAAGATAAAGATCCAGAATTTCTTAGAGACCCGGAAAGCTCGTTTCTACATTATCATTATTATTATTATTATTATTATTATTATTATTATTGTAATGTTGGGAGATGCATGTGCAAGTCCTTTGATTTCTTGAAAACGCTGAAGGAAATGGAACTACAAAAGTGACTAAACAAATAAGGAACACTAATGACAAAATACTTTGACAGAAAGAAACCAAAAGACAAAGGCACATGACTGGTTAACAACAGAGAAACAACCAAAACAGGGCCTGTGAGAACAAAACATGGAGCAAACACAAAACACACAACCAGGGGTATAAATACACATAGAACAAACACAGAAACACCTGGGATTAATGAGACGGCAGGGCAACAGACAGGTGAGACAGATGACAAGAAGGCAGGACCGGGGGGACAAAGACCAGAACGACAACAAAAACACATGAAATACATTAACAAAAGCACATGGAACAAGACACACAAGCAAGATAAACAAAGGCAGACAGAAAGATGGAATGACAAAGCAGGGCAAGACAGGATGTTACAAATATTATTATTATTATTATTATTATTATTATTATTAAAAACAGTAGTATAATTTATTATACTGATTATACCCTCTGTGAGATGTTGCCTACTCTATCGAATCAATATTTATGCATAGTGTCATTATTAAATAATAGTAATAATCATAAACATAATTAATTAAGAATGAATTATCTTCACATAGTTATATAATACAGGCATGCAGTGTTTTTCTGCTCTGTTACATTTGATTCAAATCACAAAATTATTATACAGGTTAAAGAGCAGTGGTACTACAGAACTGGGCATCACTTCTCAACCTAGCCTTCAGGGACCCGCAGTCAGCAGGTTACACATTTCTGATCTATTGCGATTCAGAATACCTGGGTCATATATATATATATATATATATATGTATATATATATATATATATATATATATATACACACACACACACACACACACACACACACACACACACACACACACACTTACTTTTATTTTGAAACTAAGTTGGACAAGACGAAGGGAAATGATTACGCGATTGACGTGGCCTGTATGGAATGGGGAAGTGGAGCTGTATTGTTTTGGTAGCTCCCATCGCTGTTCAGCTCAACAAACTGAGTGTCTCAGAATGGGACTTTTCGGGAAAACAAACGAAAGACCACCCAAAGACTTGGTAAGGAGTGAATGAAGAGCTTATAACAGATCTACAACGCTGTTCATAGAAATCTGTAAACGATGGGTTATGATAGTTAGAGTGTTAACTTAGTTAGCTAGCTGGCTAGTTAGCCAGTTCGTTTGCTAACGTAGCCAGGCAACTTTAGGTGATTTGGTGGCGAAAATACTTGTATGTTTTATAAATTACAACATTATTAAGTGCTACGCTAAGTCTGTGATACAGATAAGGTTGTATGATTATTAACGTAACTTACTGTGGTTGTCTTACTGATTGCTAGTCGAAGTAGGTTAGCTGGCTAACGCCTCTGACAGGTGGAGAGTGAGTTTATGTTACTCAGTGTGATTTACGATGAAAGCTAATTTCACATCTTAACTGGCTGGAAACGGGTTGGGTTTCATTACTGAAAACGCGACTGGTCTAATGAATGAGTATTTTAATTTGGTTAGTAATGATTACTCAATTATTTAGGTAATTCATGTAATAAAATAATGCTAGTGCATTGTTACAACTTGTTGTAAAGCTCACATTTAGTCTTCATTTTAAAGGTTGACTTTTGTTGATCCACTCCGTCTTGCTAAGCATTGAAAATTAAACATTTTGTCTTTTTTCTTTTTTTCATAGATCAACGAATGGTCCCTGAAAATACGGAAAGAAATGCGGGTGATTGACAGGCAAATCCGAGGTCTGTTTTTAGATATTAACTTAATATAAGTGAAATGTATACTACTTCAGAACTCAGTGACTGTACTGATTAATATTCAGCTGAAATATTAAATGAAATTAGAATACGTTCTCAGACTTGAAATGCCTGATGCATTCTTTGGTCATTTTGAAGACATTCAGAGGGAGGAGGAGAAGGTGAAGAGGTCGATCAAAGATGCAGCTAAGAAGGGACAAAAGGACGTGTGCATCATTCTCGCCAAAGAGATGATTCAGTCGAAGAAGGCTGTCAGCAAACTTTATGCCTCCAAAGCCCAAATGAACTCAGTGCTTCTCAGTATGAAGAATCAGTTGTGTGAGTATGGAATCACATTGTGTGAGTCGTTAAGATTGAAAACTGATGATCATTATGAACCGATCAAGTGTTATCAGAACTGGTGTAATGCATTAGGTTATGTCTTTTAAAATTTGATTGATTTTCAGCAGTAAGTATGATTAGCAGATTTTGAACCATGCTGAACACTTACAGTGATGTGACTATTTGGTTTTGGGTTCATGTATCCTCACAGCTGTATTAAGAGTGGCTGGTGCACTTCAGAAAAGCACAGAAGTCATGAAGGCCATGCAGAGCTTGATTAAAGTCCCAGAGATCCAGGCTACCATGAGGGAACTCTCGAAGGAGATGATGAAGGTTTGAAATGATGACCTAAACAATTAGAAAAGCCCAAATTTGGTCCTGGACAGTCAGAGTCCAGCACATTTAATGATTTACTTGCTCTAACTTCTAGCTGTTTACATGGGCTAATATGTTCTCAGCATGTCTAACATCAACCATGTGCGTTGATTAGGCTGGTATCATCGAAGAAATGCTGGAGGACACGTTTGAGAGCATGGAGGATGGGGAGGAAATGGAGGAAGCAGCAGAGGCTGAGATTGATAGGATCCTCTTTGAGATCACAGCTGGTAAGAAACCAGAAACCAGAGGCAGAGATTTCTAGCAAAAAAAACTTACTCTTCTCCACAGGCTTTACACTCTCACTTTCCTGATGTTTATGAACGTACATTTAGGCCTGCATTTAATATAAATAGGCATCTCAGCCATCGGCATTTAATGCCAAGTGTTAATTATAGGTGCTCTTGGAAAAGCTCCCAGCAAAGTCACAGATGCTCTTCCTGAGCCAGAGCCTGAACGTGGGGCTACAGCAGCTTCAGAGGAAGAAGAAGAAGAAGAAGACATTGAAGAAATGCAGTCCAGGCTAGCAGCACTGAGGAGCTAAAAGAACATATTCTCCTCTCTCTGTCTACTCTAAAGCTCTAAAGGCATAGACCTCATCTCAGTTATATTGAATTGCTTTCTCCTTGATTGTCTCGTTTTCTCAGCAGCCTAAGTAATAATTGTACACAGAAAACGAGACTAGGAGAAATGTTAATCTGGCTATGGAATGAAGAACTTTGTCTCACTGTGGGGTCAAATTAACAGCAATTTCAAGCATTCTAGAGCAGTACGGTTATGGGTGCATGGTAATTTCAATCTGTTTGTTTTCAAAAAGCATTTGATTAAAATGTGAGCGATTTCTGCTTTAAATAGTAATATGAGTTTAAACCATGCTGAATCTAGCTGTGCAACATGACCAAGGTTCTGTTTTACAGTGCAGTCATCTTGGTGTGGATATTTGTCCTTCTTTGTTATATTTACTGTGGTTTCTCAAGCCTTATTTGGGGTCTAAAGTGAATGCTTCTTCTCTTTACAACCATTCTTTAGTTTGGCTTTATTGACTAGGAGAAATTCACGATAGCCGCTGTATGCAAATCTTGTATATATAGATATTGATAAGTGTATTTATATAAATTTTGTAAGTAAAGCCCTTGTAACTGTGTAAGTGGTTCACTGATCTGGCTGGCAGGGTTGATGAAACCAGTGAAATGTTGCGGTGACTGTGGCAACTGTCTACCTTTCACACCTGCATCAGAACCAATATTCATACAGCATGTCAGAGTGGAAAATCACTCCTAACTTACTGTAAAATCAGAAGCAGATTTTGCACTTAGGAATAAAGTTTATTAATCCAGAAGTTTTTGTGAGATGGCCTATTAGCTTGGATTCACAGAGGTTTCTAGAAAATCTGCTGGTGAAATTGAAGAGATGTTTGAAAACGTGGAAATTGGCATTGTCAAACCCAAAGGTTTTAACTGACTGTCTCATCATACTTGATGGTAACTGTTTATAGACACATGACAGTGAGTCATTTCTCAGAATGACATTGTAAAATGGGCTAAGTTGCTGGTAGGAGTCGATCCTCCTCCTAATGCAGAGTGGCCTCCTAGTGCCTCATATAAAAAAATGACTAACTCCTAACTTCACACTTTAATGTTTAATGGGTACTTGCCTTGGGTCACAGTTCTGTCTTTGTTTCCGTTCCATATCTCTGTTTCAGCTTGTGTTCTGGAATCAGCTTTTTTTTTAATTGTTTGTTTAATGTACAGGACATATTTCATTAACATGGTTGCTTTGTAAAACACTAGCAGTAACAGTTTCGTGATGTGAGACTGAGTTGTTAATCACAAATTCTTTCAGCACATACTGCAGTGTGTGCCCGTTGGGCCTTCCTTTTAGGGCCATCTTGCAGATCTATGTAGAAAACATATAAGCACTAATGTTAGATTGCATAGGCAGCTTATTGGCATGACTCAGCAAACTCAAACCCATCCATTTTTGTTAAGTCAGATGACTTTCAGGTGGCTTTAAATGTAGTCTACAAGGACATTGCCATCCCTTCATGAAGATACATATATAACTAACTTGTGGACAGTAGCGTTTACCCTGATCACAAGGATTTTATACCAATCCAGTCTGATTCACATTTAATTATGGTTCATTATTGTTTCCTGAAAGTATTTTGTATAGTCGTTGATGGATTGAGTGCTTTGCTTCATTTAGGTCCTTTAAAAAGAAATGTACACTCCTGTGCAGAAGTTTGTTTTATATGTGTGTAAAACATGAGGAAGTGTAGAAATAAACTTTTAAGAAGAAATTAAAGGGATTTTTCCATTTGATTTAAAGGTCTAAGGAAGCCATATTGCATTAAAGGACCCATATCCTTAATTCTTCTTGTATTTTTTTTTTCCTTTTTCCTCTATAAGGAAAAAAACATTTGTTGATTTTATGTAGCAATACCAGATGTAGATATTTTTTAATCTTTCTTTATCCCATCCCGATCTTAAACAGACTGTTTTTGTTACTGTGACTCTAAGACTAATATATGTAAATGAGCATTGTTCTGATCGGCTGCCCTCATTGTGCTTCATTCTAAAAACAGTTCTGGCTGAAACACTCCTTGCAACTTCAGTGTGAACAGCTAAACTACCAGAGGCAGATATATAGTTGTATGCAAAAGTCTGGGCAAAGTATGTGGTGTCTAATTTGTAAAGTTACACATCCTCTACAGAGAACACACTTCTGCACATTTTAATTTAATTAATTAATGATAATGATAATGCAAAACAGTTCATTATTCAAGTGGGGCTCTTTTTGTGCCATAATTTCTGTATATAAAGGGTCCAGTACATTTCAACAATTCAATTAACAATGTGTGCATATTGAAGTAGAGGGAAATTGGATTTCTCACACAATATAACACACAAAATAGAAATATGTCCATGGTGTTAACCTATTCTTGCATCATTTCTTTGCTGTTGGAATTAGGTAATGTGGGATTTAAGTGGTGCTTTCGTCTCTATGGGGCCTTTTTCAGCAGAACCCTCATGTGACCCGCTGGATCCGTTTACCACAAGCTTCACACTGTGTGAAGGTAACCAGAGCCTGCCTTTTCTCTTTGGGTATCTAGGTAGGCCGCATCCACAGAGGATTAGCTTTTCATGTTTCTTCAAACATTCGTGTTTGTAGCCTCACACATTTGTGCTAAAGAACTGAAGTATTACATTGTCCTGGCTGTTTCTTCAACTATGCCAGCAGTGGAGCTAGTATATTCGTTATAATTTTCTGTACAGTTGTGTTTCTAAAGGAGGGTGGTGGCTCCAACAATGACTAAGGACTTTAAAAAAACTCCCTCACAACTGCCACACAGGGGTGTGCACCATTCTTAAAGGGCCCATATCATGAAAAAAGGAGGTTTTGTTGTTACAGTGAACAGACACAGTCTGTTTGAATTCATTGTTTTTGTGATGTCACATGTATATAGATATATATCCTATTGAGCTTGCAGCAGTTTAGCCAAGTTCACTCACGCTGAAGTTATAAGCAATGTTTGAGCATAAACTGCTTTGTGAACTAGTTACAATACATCACAGGCAATGAGGTCAGAGGTCATTTACATATAGTTATGGGCCTGGAAAAATTAATTATGACTGCTTTTGGTGCATAAACTTCATAATGATAATAAAATGCTTGAGATATGAATCTTTTAAAGGGAGATACTTAACCTAAGGTCCAGTAAGTCGTGTGAACATGGGAATGACTTGCATTTTTTTTCAGGGGCTGTGTCCAAAAACGCATACTATTTTCATATATGGCATGTCAAAATAGTATACCAGAGTTAGTAGTGCTTCCATTTGTATAGCTGCACGTACGTTAATTAACCCTAACCTCCTCCTTGTTTCTACATTCCCATTTATCAGCTCCACTTACCATATAGGAGCACTTTGTAGTTTTACAGTTGAAGACTGTAGTTCTTCTGTTTCTCCATATACTTTGTTAGCCCCTTTTCACCCTGTTCTTTAGTGGTCAGGACCCCCACAGGACCACCACAGAGCAGGTATTATTTAGGTGGTGGGTCATTCTCAGCACTGCATTGACACTGACTTGGTGGTGGTGTGTTAGTGGGTGTTGCGCTGGTATGAGTGGATCAGACACAGCAGCACTGCTGGAGTTTTTAAACACCGTGTCCACTCACTGTGCACTCTATTAGACACACCTCGTTGGTCCACCATGTAAAGTCAAATGTAAAGTCAGAGTCAATAGCGCATCTGTTGCAGCACAGTTGTATTAGTCATTTTCTAGTCCTTCATCAGTGGTCACAGGACACTGCTGGCTGGATATTTGTGGTTGGTGGACTTTTCTCAGTCCAGCAGTGACACTGAGGTGTTTAAAAACTCCAGCAGCACTGTTGTGACTGATCCACTCATACCAGCGCAACACACACTCACACACCACCACCAAGTCAGTGTCACTACAGTGCTAAGAATGGTCCACCACCCAAATAGTACCTGCTCTGTGGTGGGCCTGTGGGGGTCCTGACCACTGAAGAACAGGGTCAAAGGGGGCTAACAACGTATGCAGAGAAACAGATGGACTACAGTCTGTAACTGTAGAACTACACAGTGCACCTATATAGTAAGTGGAGCTGATAAAATGGGCAAAGAGGTGGCTTTAGTGTTATGGCTGATCGGTGTATAGTATAGCAGTATGTGGTTTTGCACGCAGCCAGAATGACAGCGTGCCCTGAGTGCCACGTGGTGTTTCGATTAGTTCGTTTTCTCAAAATTCTAAACATCAAAGCGCGCGTGCACGACACCGCCAGGGCGCGTGCGCTAGAGCGCCTGGTAACAGGCAGCAGAGACGAAGGAAACTCCTCCCTGTTGACAAGCAGCTCTCCAGCCTTCAGCGCGATGGTCTCCTGGATTATTTCTAGGCTTGTGGTGTAAGTCCTTTTGTTCAGTCTACGGAATTAATGTTTTTTTCTCTTCCACTTGGATGAATGGATCTCTAAATCTTTGCGTGGATGTGTTGGGGTCTTGTCTTTTTTGCTCTCTGTCTCTGTAGCGCAAGGTGTCCGCTTTTCAGGAGCTTCGTCTTTAGCTTATCTCTTAATTCTAGGCAGAGCAGAACCGTAGGCGAGTCATGACGTGCCGCTTCAGGAGCTTAATTATATTCACAGCCTTTTCCATTTCAAGGTGTTGTAGACTGGTCGTCAGAGACTCGAGCAGTCAGTTCCCGTACTGAAGCGGTATTGTCAGTGTAGCCTGTGATATTGAGCCCTATGAATAAGGGACAGACAAAGGCGTGTGACGTGATCTGTCCAGTCATACATGCGTGCTTTGCTGGACAGTTGGATTTATTTCAAGAATATTTCATTCGTAGACTATGTGTTTTGAAGGAGGCCCCAGCTGGAGGCCAAATAAGCTTAGCATTTTTTAAATGTTTTTTGTTTCCACACACACGGTGGGTCAGAGTGGGCCTGCTGTTGGTGTACAGGCAGAAAACAATGGGATGGGTCAAGACATAGATTCTGAGGTGACACTGTAAAATGCTGAAAACAGTAGCATGAAGCTTTCATAGTCAGCTGAAACTGATACTAATCCTTGCCTACAGCTTTCTCTGTCTCTGTCTCTGGATATTTTTTCAGTGATCATTCAATAATGATGATGATCCTTTGAATCTCACCCTGATGATGAGATAGCGACACCTCCAAATAGTGATTCAATTAAATTTAGATTACAGTATCCGATTACGCTGCATGGGCTACATTTTGCAGCACACTAGATCTTCCTCAGACACCAAATATAGCTCATACATGGCATGTAGGGTGCCAAACACCTTATAGCCCACTAAGTCGCCCAAAGTTGAAAAGGTCTGTGTCTTTGTGAAAGTGTCTGTGTGTGTTTGGGGCTCTTGGGCAGCTCGTATGTAGGTCGGTCATTTGATCAGGTCAGACTCGCAGCTGTTGCTGAGCTGTGAGGCCTGAAAGAGCACTCGCGAAAAGAAATGCTTGAACACAGGTGCAGGCTGGGTCACACTCCTTCTGGAGCTTTCTCGCGTCTTTAAGCGCTGCTGCGCGTAAGCTCGTCACTCAGTCTGAACCAAACGCCATTTCGCTTCGTTTTCTTTGCGACCTGCTTCGCTGCGTCTGTGAGTTATGATCGTACAGTTGAGGGAGCTATTTTAGTCAAGCATGCAGAATGTAAACTTGGAAGATAATCAGGGTCGTACAAGCCTGCTTGGCCCGCACCCTGCAGACTAAGACCTAAACCAACAACAGAAGTTTAGAAAAACAGTCTGTCCAGTAGATGCTCTGTAGAAGCTCAACCACACAAGGTTAGTGAGGACGTAGGTTAGTTAGGTACATGTTCGGAGCTGCTGGTTTATCAGTTAGAATTTTAAATTACATTAATATGATGGTGAGATTGTAACCGGAGTTAAAGAGAATCATGGAAAAGTGAATTTTCCTTGGTAATAAAATATATAGCATGCAAATATTGTACCAGTTTCAGAATGTATTCACTCTCCAGCCTGTACATCTACGGCAACTAATCTGAAAAAAAACGACCTGTTTTGAATTCAGTGTTTTCCTGATGTCACCAGAACCACCTACCCAGCCTATAGCAGCTTAGCCCCGCCCATTCACAGGACAACTAATCAGAACAGAGTTCATTTACAGATATCTGTCTTAAAGTCACAGTAACAAAACCTGCCTGTTTAATTCTAGGGCAGGGGTGCACAACTCCAGCACAGTTTGGAGGTTTCCCTGCTCAAACACACCCACTTAACCTGGCAATTAACAGATAAGTGTGATCAGGTGTGTTGGAGCAGGTAAATCATCCAGGACCAGAGTTGTGCACCCCTGTTCTAGGGGATAAAGAGAGGTTGGAAAATGTTCATGTAAAAATGAATCATGACTGTTTTTGGTACGCAAAACCAACCCAAATGTTATAAGAGAACTTCTCAGAAAAAAAATAAAATAAAATGCAAGGATGGCCTTTAATATTATATATAATATTATATAAGGCCATGCACTTTTTTATCTTATTTTTTTTAGCACCTAAACACAGTTGAGTAACCCAAGATATGTTTGGTGTCCAAAGCTTGCTTTCTGAGTTTAATAGTGGAGGTAGCAGTCTAATGTAGTAGATGTCACCCAAAAATTCTGACATAGACTTACATTACTTGTTAGCTACATTAGCCTCACAGCTCCAGTGCAAAACTAAAGAAGCAAGCATTGTTCCTCTAACATGGCATCATAGCATACCATTTAAAAAGATCTACTTCTTGTTTTTTTGTAATCGTCCATCATAATGTAATTACTTTTATTTGCCTCTAAAATATCTTGGGAATATCAATTGTCTACATTAGACTGCTAGCAGGGAAAAAATAATGTTAGCCAATAATATTATGTTTCACCAACTCCCACCACCCCTTCTATCAATAAGCTAAACAGAAGCTCAGAGACCCTCACTGATACTGCATTTCACTTGGAAACAGGTCAGAGTATGGAAGGAAAATACTATAATTTCTGATTCATGCTGATGTTAAACTGCAAGGGCTCATATATGGACTCTTCAATTACTCACCCTCATATTAACATAAGTCCTAAGATTAAAGGGCCCATATTACAGAAAATGGAACTTATCTCACCTTTTTGAAATATGGCTTTGATGTAGTGAGTTCCAGAATGTACTAATTACTCCTCAGTTTATACAGTCCATATCTGAAAACTAAACTGCAAACAGTCCACAATTACTTGTTTTTGTGATGTCACAAAAACCAACACACAAATTGACATTGAAGTTAAAACAAGTGTTTCAGCCTGAACTGCTTTAGGGCAGCCAGTCAGAACAGAGCCCATTTACATATAGCAGTTTTAAAGGCACTGTAACAAAAACAACCAGTTTACTTCTAAGAAATATAGAGTAGTTATAAAAAATGGTCATGTAAAAATAAAGCATGACATTTTTGGTGCCCACACAGATATCTTAAGTGGGGGAAAAATATGAGAAAGATGTAAGATACATAAACGAATTATAAACATAAAGTTTAAGTGGTTAAATTATTTTGATGTTGAGCTTTGACACTCATGTTGATATTAATCAAATTATGCTCCTGATGATTTTTCTCTGTGTCTGACAGGCTCATATTTGGGACCCTTTACCCTGCGTACTCTTCATATAAAGCTGTTAAATCGAAAGATGTGAGAGAATATGTGAGTATGAGCTGCGTAATGCACCTTTTCATGGCTTTTACACAGAGATGCGCGGCACTTGTTTGTCAGCATCATCTTATATAAGCTCAAGCATAAAGGAACATCCACGACATATTTCATAACGTGTTTATCTTTTTTTATATCTTTCACAGGTAAAATGGATGATGTATTGGATTATATTTGCACTGTTCACTACAGCTGAGGTGATCACAGATATATTTTTGTGCTGGTAAGTGAAACTTACCTTTTGTTTGTTTACCATTAGTGTTGCGACTGTATGTTGTTTGTGGATCATTCTACTGAACTGGTTCATAATCAGAGTTGAAAACACATTTTGGACTTTTAACTGACTTTAGACAAAGTATTTTGCTTTGAATGACCTGAATGTTTCAGTAATGACAACTGTTTCTAATTTTGAGAATAACTAAAAAATGCTAGCCAGTACATGACTACCAAACACAGATTTGAACAGTTGTACACACATTAATGATGATATTTTTTCATTCAAACACAAATCTTCACTTAATTGTATTAATAATTAAGTAATTGTTACACAGTGATTTTCAGACTTTGGGACACATTTACTTCAAAACAATGAGATCTAACTGCTCACCATGTGTTAGTCAGCTTTTTTTTGACTGCCACCTCCCAACAGAAAGCACCTTATAAATGATGATTTTGTGTATATTTAGCTTATTACTATTTCGATTAATGCCTTAGGTTTAAATAGGTCACAACATTTTCCTTGTAAATATCTCAGTCTGAATACTACAAAATATTTTTAATACCTTTTTTTCAGTAAGAGTTATTTTGAACAAATTCTGTGGAATGGTCCACATATGCTGGTTGGTAAAAGCCTCCAAGTCATAACACTCACTTGTATGACTCATCTCTTATGTCTTTCAAAGGCTTCCGTTCTACTATGAGCTCAAAATTGCCTTTGTGGTGTGGTTACTTTCACCGTACACAAAGGGATCCAGTGTGCTTTATAGGAAATTTGTCCACCCCACATTGTCCTCTAAAGAAAAGGTAGGCTTTTTTATATGTGTTGACTGTATAAGTTATTGTTTTCTTTTCTTGTCATTTTGAACATTTTCGTCACTGTACAAACAGATTATTGCAAAGCAAACAGATGCCTAATGTTTAATGATGAGCAAACAAGCTAACTGCTGCGCTCGTGCAGACAGCTGTGGGGTGACTAGAGATTGTGCAAAACAGACAGTTAGGAAAGTGTGCATTTGACCCTGTTTCCTGTAATGTGTGTTAGAGGACGTATTCCTGGTCAGTGTACAGTAAACGGTGAAAGGAAATGATGTCGTGGTTTTTCCAGAGGCTTTCCTCTACACTTTATTTGCAAGGCAGGAAATTCACCAGGGTTGCAATGAGGGAAGAGTGCAAGGACACAATGATAGAGAAAAACGGAAAAGACAAAGACAAAGACGCTGGTTCTGATTCTGAGGAAGTGGAAAAACACATGACCACATTTTCTATTTGGGGAAAAAGTAAAAGTGAATGCTAAATCTTACTGAAGAGCTCAGATTCTTATTTTCCTCATTTGCTTATGGTTGGCGTTTTCCAGGACATTGATGAATACCTGTGCCAAGCAAAGGACAAAAGTTACGACACTCTGGTGCATTTTGGAAGAAAAGGCCTGAATGTGGCTGCCACAGCTGCAGTGATGGCTGCTACCAAGGTGACTGTTTACCACCATCTCATGGCTACTTGTTAAGAAGTGAGACTATGATCAGGAATATTGAAAGTGGTTACTTTCACCTTTTTGGGCAATGTTACATTTTAGAAGTAGATCAGAAATCTGTTTTATTTAAAGGAATAAATCATCAAAAAAATTATGCAAAGGTTTTGACACCCTTGGTCCAACTATATTTTTTCTTGATTTGTTTAGTGAAAATAAGTTAACACTTCTGCACATTTTTAAGGTACAATTACTGTTTGTCTGCTAAATTTAACCTGTTGGGGAAAAAATAAAACATTAAATGTGACATGCAAAAGTTATGGCACATTTTATATTTTATTTTTCCCCCAAGATGTTAAATTCAGAAAATAATTTGAATACTTATTTAATTAGTTAAGTTTCTTTTCCGTATACAATGTATTAATTTGTTTTCCGCTTAGAAAATCAACAAAACATGCAATTTGACCAGGCAAATATGTTTTGCATACAACTGTAGTTGATCTGCCATCTGAAGATTGCTTTTAATTTTGCACTGCAGCTACAAGGTTAATGTAGGTAATATGTAATAAATTATTATAACCTACCAATTTGTGCAAATTGTTAAAACTGCATTCTTAAATCATTAAAACACTCCTCATCAAAAGGACCTGGTTGTGGTTTATGATACTGTATGACATACTGTTATTTTTAAAAATGGACACGGAGTTAACTGGAGTTAAAAACAGTCGTAGCTAAAAACGTTGGGTAGCAAAAAGTGTTGTGTAGCTTAAAACATTGCACAGCTCAAACGCAGACTTTGGACACAAAACATGTTTTGACTGCTTAACTATACTTGGGGAAAAGTGAAAACCTATTTTTTGTTTTTTGCCTATTCTTCTAACAGTTACATTAATAAAATAGTAATTACTCATTTAAAAGCACTAAAAAACACTGATTAACAGTGCAGATGGGGGCCCTGGGATTAGGGTCTGTGTTCAAAACCAGACAGTGTGCCATTACATTCTCATTGGCTTGAGGGTGAGATGGTATGCAATAAGTAACTGGAGAGTAACACAATTTTGTTTTGACTCTGCACTTAAGTACATTTGGTTTAAAATTAAACAATGATAATGAAGTTCAAGCACAGAAAGTCAGGGTTGAAATTAAAATCACAACCCTTTTTATTTTCCAACATTCTGCATGATCAGCAAGAGTCATAATTGGATAATTCACTATAATTAATTTTGGGAAAAAACTATTTAAAAAAAAAACATTTTAAAAAGTAAACCTTCTGCTACAGGGTCAGGGGGTGCTATCGGATCGGCTGCGGAGTTTCAGCATGCAGGACCTGTCCTCCTTGCAGTCGGAAGATCAGGCAAGAAGCCCTGCTTCAGTCACCACTCAGCAAGCATCCGGCCAGCAGCACAGAACACGGGCCATGATGCGCAGCAAATCAGAGACTGGCTACAGCAAGGGTAAGTGCACCTGTCCAACCAATGACCTCTCTGCTCCTCTTAATCTCCTGAGAATAAACATACTATCAGCAAATCAGATACTCACGTACTAACTTGTTCAGCTACTGCTTTCAATAATTCTTTACATAATGTATATCTTCATTGAGGGATGTAAGAGTTCATCTTGATATAGAAAGTAATTTTAATGAAATTCAATATTTTAGAATATCCTGTGCTCTATACTACCCATTTTCCAACTGTGTGTCAGTATTATAGAGCCAGATCTTACGAATTGTAAGCAGTAACTAACCTCTGTATTTTCTGTGCCTGCTGGTCTAGTATTGCTCAGTACACTATGTTCACTTAAACATCTGATTTTCATATTATCAGTGAGCCATTAAATCATACATGTGGCTAATGTGATTGAAAGGAAAAGTACAGTACTCAGACATCTGTTACGACATATAACTGCTTAAAATTGTGACATTGAACAGATGTTTAGATTTGACCAATATTTCAGTCCAATATTTGATGACGTATTTACTAAGCTCCTGAAGAACACAATGTTTAGGTGATGCTGGGCTACAGTCCTCTGTAATGCTAATCCTGGTAGACCCAGTCTCATTTTTTTCATTTTATAAATGTTTATGCATTAGCATCGGCAGATACGTACGTGAAAAATATCAGATATCGCTCTCGGCCCACAATTCCCATATTCTCTTCTCATATTGAAACCCTAGCAAGTAATTTGAAATTGACACCAAAGCATATCTAAACATATTTTATTATTTGGTTTAAGCTCTAAAGAAAACACTTTCTTTTGGTAACCTTATTAACTTTAACAACAATAAAGAGCCTAGATTATTTTTTGGGCATTGAGAGTTTGGAAAGTAAATGAACATTGTATCCCAGAGAAATTCAACTTTTTCAGCCTTATTATTTCACTGTAAGAGGCCTCAGAGGAAGACTTTTATTATGCCCTATCATGTTCTCTTATTTACCACAGACCTGTCAGCCTGCCTTAAATTCATTGTTTCAGTGCAGATCTTTAAGGTCATGTACTCAAAGATGAATAATAAGATGGACAGGCCTGTTATTGATGCCCCTGTTGTCATGGTGCAGGCCAAGAATTTGACATGACTGAGTTTGAACTGTTGAGTTTGGAAAAGCGCAGTGCTCCTGAGCCTCCTTGTCCTCTGACCCCCAAACCCACTCCTACTTCATCGTCGCCTTTCACGATCCCAAGCCAGCCTCTTGAACCCCCAGAGCCCTTCCAGGATGAGCCCACGCAACCTCCACCCATGGCCCCAGAGGTGACAGAGGACAATGGGACAGAGGAGGGCTTTCCAGCCAATTCAGCCCAACTCAGACTGCTTAAAAGGCGTGCCCCAGAGGTAGCCCTTGCTTCTAGAACAGTTGGTTGGTGATGTGCCTGGCTGTGGTTGGAGTGCCCTTGGCCTGGTTATTATCACTAACACACTGAATCACTAATCAACATGGCTGCTCAACCAGAGGCTGCTGTGTGGAATGGCGTTTTTGACTGGGATTCATGCGAGACTGTGATCTGTGTGTTAATGGATGTCATGAAGTCTCCCAGCGATTGCACAGCATTCAAGGAGGATTATAGCAGGCGTGAGTCATCGAAGGAGAGAGCTTCCTGTCTAATGAGGCTTTGAAAGATGATCCTGGATCTGTGCTCTAATAGGAATTTGTAATTATCTTATCATTTATCAGAAATAAGTAGTAATATAAGCGAAAAACTGCACTTACTACTGGCTTCTCCAACCATAATAGTAGCAAGAAAGGGGCTTTTATGCAGTCGATATTCTGAGCTTGGAGAGCCAGCTAATAAACAATCAGCTTCTCCAGATTCAAGAGTATGTGTTAGGATAGAGAAGATGCTATGGGTTCTACTTCACTACATGAAAAATATATGCTCTGTAAAATTTATTTTTAAAACCATTGTATTAAATTAGATGGTTAAACATGTACATATATTGTCACAAGAAAAAAAAATTAAATCTGTTTTTTACATCTACATCATATTAAATTCCCAGATTCCATTTACATTGTGTGAACAGATCATTACGAATGGACCAATAGAAACAGCCAAACAAACAGCCGCTCCCATCATTGTTCCCTCCAAAGCCTCGCCTCAAACACACATGCAAGCTGCCTAGGCTACCTGAATGCTGGTGCTAAGTTTGTTGTAATGCATTGTCACAAATTTTAACATGAGTGTGACATGCACAGCTAATCATCTAATTAGCTATTGTTAGCTAACATAAGAGCTAGCCAGACACCTAACATTACTCATACTCCCAAGTCCCTCAGAGCCCAGAGCCCACTTTGTTAGCTTTAGATGTGCCATCAGTCTAGCAGATATGGAGGAAAATCAGTGTCAACTTGCCCATTCAACTCTCCATTGTAGAAGTGGACTTTTGTCTTTTTTCTCTACAGTAGACTGGTTATATTCAGTTTCTCTTCCTCTGTCTTTCTTTTCTTGGTTTGTTCGGCAGTGTTAGCTCTCATAGTGCTGGAGCTGATAATTTTGTTGTTATTTTCTCTGCCATTTTCTAGAAGAGCCAGCCAGCTACCACAGTTGGTATTTCACAAGTCAGGTTTACAGCCAGCTAAATAAAACTCAGGCTCTGTGTGCTGTGGATGTGCAGTAGGATTGACAGGAGGGTAGATACGCCTCCTTGTCCTGATTGGCTGGATGTTGGTGGCCCACATCTTTTTTTTCCCCTCCAGTTTGCAGAGCCTGGGGAGCCACAGAGAATAGATTTCTTCATTTAAGTTACTGCTGCTAGAATGTGAGGACATTTCTGATAAAAAATGTAATGCTATAAGATTTTCTCTAAGATACCTATTTAAATCTTCTAGTAAATTTGGACAGTTACTAGTTTACTGGGGTAGTACACAAGTATCATAGCATCACTTATTTGTCTTTTGAGCAATTTCATGATGAATGGACAAATAGTCCAAAATTACTTAGAATAAAATCTCTTTACATCAATTTATATTAAAGGTAAAGAACATTTTTGCCTTCTCCTGTGAAGTTACTGTTTTGGAGATTTTGTTTTTTTTGGGACAGTGAAGACAGACTACTATAAGACAGTACTACATGAATATTACATGGAGGTGACCGTGTTATAGGTTATTATAACAGTGTTATACAGCTTACAGAAATGGTATTATAGTATTGTATTACTATAGCCTTTTTTCTAAGGGGAATTTTTCCACAAAAACACTTGAGCCCACCATCAAGTTCTCCTGTAAACTAACTGTTTTGGGGATACAGGGTTTTCTTACAACAGTGATGATTCTAATGGTGACATTGGTGGGAGAATCTGCTTCAAGACTCTGCATGTTGCCTTGGTTACGAATATGATCCTGTAAAAACAACAAAGACCCTGTCTATAAAAAGTAGTCCTTGATGTCAGATATGTTCAGCATGTTCTGTTCTACATTTCACCAATTTTCAGGTCATTAGATACGTTTGTTTGGCTGTAGATAGAGGTGTTGCAGTCACCCACAGGTGCCTGTTCTCAGTAGTTGTCTTGATGAAACTTGTGATCATGTGCAGAGTAAACATGGTCACAAGTGGAACGTGGTGTGTCTAACTTCACTGTGAAAGCTCTTGGCTCTGTGGTGGTCTGAATTTCGTCTTTCATTTCTGTTTGTTTTTCCTTTTTATTTATCTTTGCCTAACCCCTTCCTCCTTTTTCTCTCTCAGCCTCCTCCTAGAGTCTTAAGACCTGTCACCAGATCCAGATCAAAGAACGCCCTATCTCCAAACCCTGAGGCCATGTGACTGTGCGTACGCTGCGAGACTGCTTTAGCTGCCTTAGCTGCAACATGAGGACATGGAACAAAAGAGGAGACAGATGGGGGGAAATAAAATGCTTGGGAACGCAGCCAAAAAGATCAAATATTTAAAGCAGCCTCGTTCTCGAACGAGGTAACCAAAGCGATGTGCAACCTTTTCGCTTCTGATCTTTGACACTGGAGGGGGGGAGGGTGTGCTGAGGTAACTTGTGTATGCAGCACCATTCAAAGACTCAAACACTTCTGAACCTTTTTTTGTGTTGTACATATTTACCATACGTGAGAGTGTTTTCTTTCATTCATATAACTTTGGGAGAGACAGAAGCATGCATGTCCCTCTGTCGGTCTGTCATGAAAACAACACCAGAATGTATTGTCTGTCAGCATCTAAAAGTTGTACAGTAGCCAGTATGGTCACCCATGGAGGCGCGGCCCTCTCCATGTCTTTAAGGGCTACTCTCCATTGGGTTTTCTAACACTCTCTACTTACCCTCTTGTCAAGAGCACAAGTGGGTAATCACAGTGTATTGCAAACTTTAGTGCACAAGTTCAGGTGAGGTTGTGGCTTTTTTTCTTTTCTTCATTTGGAGAAATCTCTGTTGAGATGTAGCAAGGCCTCAGAGCAAAACAAACCATCAACAAACTCAAATGTTTGTTTACCAAGAGTGACTTTTATATGCAGGCTTGTAATTTCACCAAAAAAAAAAATCAGAGACAGCACGATACCACTTTTTCTTTTCCGATACTGATGCCACAACTTTGAGTATCGGCCGATACCAATTCAATATTCAATATTTAAAAACTGCTAAGCTTTAAAATTTTTTAACAAAGCGCCTCACCTAAGATGGGCATCTAAAAGTAGGTCATCATGCTTAAACTACTGAAAACTTTGCTACCCCACAGTAAGAAACACACAGCTAACAACATCACATATTGGTCCTGATTCATCAAAGTTCTGTACAGTCAAATCAAGTCAAATCAATGAGCGTGAGCAAATTTAATCACACTACACCATCACATCATTCTTATGTTTTGTTTACTTTTTACATTTTACTCTTTCCAGTCGTAATTTAAACACTACAATAATATTTGACCAAGAGGGAGGCAGTACACTCACGGCTCAACCTCAAACTCCATCTATGAGCCCAGCCACTGGCTCACAAGCTGCTGAGTACTGTTGTTTTATTGACTCCCAACCAAAACATCTGCGTGAATTAGGATGTGCTTCATGTAAATGAATTCGTCATTGCAGGGGGTCAAATCTGCGCTCTTTTTTGTGCAACTTTGATTAAAAAAGGCTATTGTGGGTGAGTGCTGTCTTAGATTTGTTAGAGGATTTGAGCTTTTTCTGCTGATATCAGCCCGATGCTGATAACTGGTATCGGATCAGTGCAATCTTTAGTTGTCAGTAATTACGTTTACATGCACACCACTGGTTTGATATTAGTCTGATTAAGACTGCTAGTCTAACTAAGCTATGATCATGCAAACAGCATGGTTCAATTGTAATGGTCTGATTAAAGTCTTCGTCGACTCAGGCTTTTTAAATTAGAACGTGATCCAGGCAGATGTTAGCTGGAATATTAGAGATAGATTTAGACATATAAACACTTAAATCACCTCACCGAGTCATGCGTGAAGCTCTTGTGACATTTTGCAGCTTTGTCTGTAGTACCACAAACACAAGCAACAGAAGGTGAAGAGTCTCGCCCTTTTGCAGAAAGGAAGAGATGTTAAATGTTTTGTCAGAAAGTGAGTTAGATGTTTAAAAGGAAGGAGAAAAAAGGAAACCAAATATTTTAGACAGAGGAAAGCTCATGCATAGATAAAGGATATAATTAAGGGAGCATTTCATGGTATAAAATCAGACTATGCTGTCGTATATAAATGGGACTATAAATGGACTATTCTTTCATACTTGTAAACATCTTGGTTCATCTAGTTTCTTAGACTAACTAAGAACTTAGGTGGGCTATTGTGTGCATGTAAACGTGATTAATGAAGATATCAATCATGAAATGTATATATAATATAATCAAGAAAGGACAATGTGCAATGCTGTAACTTTACAGCCTTTTTATTGAAATATTGGAATATAAAACACTGAACTAACTTAAGTCCTCTTTACATTATCTGGTTATACCATTAATAATGAGACAGTTTATGATTATGGATCATCACAAAAGAAAGGAAAATTTATCAGATATGTAATAACACCTACAACAGTTATTTATCCAAAGGAATTCATTACCCCTTTGAGGAAGATGTTGCCTGCTTTAGTTGTTAGTTGTAATCAAGTCATCATTTCACAGTAGCAATTATTTAATAACCTTTTTAAAAGATCCCCTACATGATCATTTCGGGACCTCATTTAAATATCTCTGATTAGTGCAAATAGACTGAATGTCACTATAGTTTCTGTTGCCATGTTAACTGTTTGTTAACTTTTCTAAACTTTGGTGTTGCATGAATTCACATCTGTGGGCAGTATGAATGGGTTCTGTTTTTTGCCTCTTCATATGTGTTTTGGGGTCCTCAGTATTAACACGTTTATGTACCATATTAGAGCTTGAATGAGCATTAGTGGTGCTGTGAGCTCTGTGGTGGTCATTGGTACATACATACATACTGGATTATGAACATGGTACAGTACATCAGTACTTCACCCACTGAGTGTGGTTTAGTTCTTGTAGCACTCACACATTTAGCCATAGGTGGGAGCCAAAGAGCCAGGCCCCTTACATGTCTCAACACTGTGCAGTCACACTGTTTTTTTTCACTGAGCAGTTCAAACTGAGCACAACTCAAAGTCGTGTCACCCTTAATCTTAAAAATGCATGTTAGGATCAAATGTAAACTGGAGCTGTACAATCCCCCCCTGACTAATGAATTCACTGGGATCAGCGACAGTGCTTCAAAACCTCCTAAAGGCATGACTACCACTGTTCTCCGCTGGCCATGTCAAAGAGACTTTCTGACAATGTATCTGTTGAGTTTGGAGTATGATGACAATCATAGTTTATTTTGACCTCTTGAATTTCTTCAGATGTCAGGTAGCAAATGCTTATATTGGTTTGCAGCTATACAAATGAACCTTTTTTTCAGTAGTGTGGCTAGAGTTAACTAAATAACTGCCTCAGGTACAGTTTGTTTCATTTTTAACAGGAATTCCTTCAATTTTGCAAAATTACTATATATTTCAATCATTGTGATGTAAACAAAGTCATTTAGAGTGGGTTGATATGATATGGCTCGCTGTAGACAAACTTACTAACTCAGATTTATTTACAGTGAACTGGGGTCGTAACATCTGTAACATAAATATAGCCGTTTTGTTTACTATCAAAAATGACCAGTGAACCTACATGTGTGTATAATAGTGCAAAATAAAAAAAATAATAAATAAAAATAAATAAATAATGATAATAAATAAATTTAAAAAAAAAATCAAAAAAGGTGTCTTTGGGTACTATTTTGCCTTACAACACCCTGCATGTACCTCTCTGGATTTTAAAATGATTTTTAAGGCAAAACTTTATTTCAGAATTATCATTAAACTGTATTTGTATGTTTATCTGTAATAACTTAATGTAATAGCTTTCTGTGAAGTATCTTTTAGCAGTGTTAAACTCTCGGACGTCTGGTTCCTATCACAACCACTGTGAACAATTCTGACTCTTGTTAGTTTCTAGAGAATGGTGCATTTCACATCAAACCTTTCTGAATGATGTTGTTTACATGTTTAAGATTGAAATATACAGAACATTTTAAAAACTGGTGGAATTCCCCTTTAACACTACTGCTGTATGTTTACACTTTAAATTCAACTACTGACAGTGAAAAAGAAGGGCAGAATCAAACAAAGAGTAATTTTGGAAAGGCAGCAGACAGACCATTAGAAAAACAAGGTGTACATTTTGATGATTAAAATGTTTCTGAATGCTGTGTCAGACCATTTCGATGACTGTCTTTAGCGTCCAGCCTGCATCATTTTTGCTGTACTAAACCTGCATGAAATATTTCCTACCACTCATTTAAGTGCTCTGTGTGAATTCATCTTTGGCCTCATCTGATGCTCCACTGATGGTCATAGTCTTAGATTGCTTGAACAATGTTGTATTTTTTCTTTATATAAGCAAGTTATTAAAGGCACAACCTTTCCTACTGCCTGAAGACCAGGCTAACCGCCGAAACGCATCTATTCCACATGTGTGTCAAGCTTAGACCAACTTTAAGCCTTTAATATTCTATTCAAACCTGAGAAATGTGAGAGCGGTGTCCTTGTGCTTTATTATAAACTACTCTAATAGAAGTCATGCTTAAAGTAGAGGCTGTGCCTTTAAAGACTAATAGCCTTTCATTGATTTTATTCAGTGTATTCTGACATTGAAATATTGTTCATTTTTGTTAGTCGGTGTGTTAAAGCTCCCTGTACTTGAGCCAGATTGTTTGGAAGAGGGAGAAGTAAAGAAAATGTCCTTGTGGTTTGGGCTGTACTTTATAAGAGCGATAGAACCTCACTTTCTTCTTAATAAACATAATAGCTTGCAGCATCTCTGTAAAAAAAAAAAATATATATGTTTCAAAAACACAGCTCTCGTGTCTGGCAGGCCAGAAGAATTCTCTCATGCTTTTAAACAATAGCCTTGGGTGGGAAAAGAACCTGATGTAAAATGGTAGACTGATCTCTGTCAGAAACCCTTCAAATGTATCTGACGGTGTGGTGACCTCAGCTATTAAAAGGGAGACAGAATATCAATCCACGACTCCTCTGATTTCATTTCAGCCACTGTATAAAAGATTAAACAGTTATCAAAGACATTTGCTATGTGAGAAACAGTTTTATTTTTTGAACCATGGTTATTTACACTAATCATGATGGATGCACATGCGTTTTTAGTTTACAGTGCGACAACAGCAGTAATTCTTGTAGATTTTACCAATAAGCATTTTCTTCATACACCAGGACAAGACTAACATGTTAAGAGGGTTTTACACTTAGAAGTTGACCCTATCGTGGTATTTCTGGTAAGGGTCATTAAGGTACCAGTTTCTTCTTTTCCAAAAGGATGTGGTCATTTTGTCTAGTTTTTTGCATTGAGTCTTGTTACAGAATACATGTTCCCTTAAACGCTTTTTTCGGACTGCTGCCTTCTTCCAAAGTTTCTTCTTGTATCCAGCCTGAAAACCAGTCACAACAAAAAAATATATATTCAGTATCTTTGGGGGGAAAAAAGGTAAACTGTAATGGCATTAGTGCTACCTTAGTCTGCAGATAAGGTTTTCTTGGGTCACCAAAGAACCTGAGGTTTGACTCAAAGTTGACGAATCCCCTATTTTTAATCACACGTTTTAAATTTCCTTTTGCATTTCTTAATTAACAAACTAACAACACAATTACTGCCCCTAATAACTTTGTAACTGAGACTAAACTACACCTATCGATTAATTAAGAGTGAAACTAAGCCAGGTTACATAACATGATAAAGTTGAACTGTAATAAGTATAATATCATTTGCACAGTTTACCTTCTTGGAATCGTCCTTACAAATTTTGACGTGTACCCACATAGAGGATATTCAGTACCCAGTGTGCTTCACAAGAGATGCACATAAACAACACGTTCTGTAAAATGGAATGGTGTTCAAACCTGGACAGAGAATTACTAGCTAACTTGGGCTGAAGTGATATTATGGAATTTAGGTGCA